CACCCCAATCCCCCGTTCCCCCCGCCGCGCCGCCGTGAGCTCTGCCCCATTTCCACGGCGACATCGGGCTCGCACCGGTCTCTCGCGGATCACGGGCACCCACTGCCGCGGGTCCTGCGCCGAAATGAGCCGTACCCGCGGTTATCACCGCCGCGGTGCTGCGCGGCACCTCTGGGGCACTGTCACCAGACCGGCCGTCAGCAAAAGCAGCGCTGGAACAGACCCCTCCTTTAAGCTGCGCACTCACGCACATAACGAAAACGTAAAACAAAGTGTTTCAGCACTTTTCAGGAAAACTTGGGTGGCTCTTAAAAGAGCCGTTGGGTTTATCTGCAAGGCAGACAGGACAGACGGGCAAACTCATTTATTTCTTCTTGGGCGCCGCCTTCTTCGCCTTGGCCGCTTTGGGCTTGGCCGCCTTGGGCTTGGCTGCTTTGGGCTTCACCGCCTTCGCTTTCGCCGGGCTCTTGGCCGCTGCCGCCTTCTTGGGCTTGGCAGCCTTGGTCGCCTTCTTGGGGCTCTTGGCCGCTTTCTTGGCCGCGGCGGCCGCCGGCTTCTTGGCTTTCTTGGGGCTCTTCTTCGCTGTCACCGCCTTCTTGGGCTTCTTGGCGGCGCTGGCGGGCTTCTTGGCCGCCGGCTTCTTGGGCTTGGCCGCGGTCGCCCGCTTCTTAGGTGCCTTCTCCTTCACTTCTCCGGGCTTCTTGCTGAGGCGGAAAGAGCCGGAGGCGCCGGTGCCCTTGGTCTGCACCAGGGTGCCCTTGCTGACCAGGCTCTTGAGCCCCAGCTTGATACGGCTATTACTCTTCTCCACATCATAACCACCAGCAGCCAGCGCCTTCTTGAGAGCGGCAAGAGAAAGCCCCTTGCGCTCCTTGGAGGCGGAGACGGCCTTGGTGATCAGCTCGGTGACGCTGGGGCCGGCGGGTTTGCGGGCTTTGGCGGCGCCCGCCGCCTTCTTCGGCTTCTTGGCGGCCGTAGCCTTGGCCGGGGCCGCAGCCGGAGCAGCGGCGGCGACGTCGGGCGCGGGGACGGGAGCGGTCTCGGACATGGCGCCTCCTGCCGAGTCAGCGCGAACAATAGCGAGGCCGCCGCCGCCGCCCCCTTTTATAGCGGCGCCGCGAGCGCTGATTGGTGCGGCCCGGCCCGCCCCGCCGCCGCGCCGGTTGTGTTTCTTCCCGGTCCAAAAAGGGCTTTTTGCTCCCGAAATTTCCTGCCGGCGCACCCCTTTTCTTCCCGAGCCGGGAGGGGGACGCCTGCCCGACCGGCTGACCGAGTTTCCCGTCGGAAGGAGCAGAAACGAGGGTGAAGCGGCCCCCGAAACTACGTGGCACGGAGCTGCAGAGACCTCGGGAGAGAGAAACTTTCCTTTTTTCCTTTAAATTAAAATTCTACCATCGACCGAGTGGCCGCAGCCGGCGTGAAATCTTGTGCTTTAGAAGGTCCTCTCCAGATTAGGGCAAAACCCAGGGTGTTTTGACCTGTTGGTCTCAGGGTAAATTGATATTAAAGGCGAGGAAGTAACACAGCTCGCCCCGCGGTCCCGGGCGCGGATGCAGAACTGGCTCCGGCGGCCGAGCCGCTTCCCTCCGAATTCACATCATCCCCCTCGCCCTCCCCTCAGCGACCACCGTGCTTTAGCTACGGCCTTTTTGGGGAGACATTTGGGCTTTAGCAGCGCCTGTAACAGCCGATGCGACTTTACATCTGCTCGGGTGTTTCGGTGGGACAGAGCACCGACGTGCCGCTCTGAAGGCTGATGGTCCTGGCATGGCACTTTCCACCTAAACTCAACGAACTCGCTTTCGCCTGCTAAATTCCAACATATATTCTGATATGTATTCAGATATATCGAATTCAGATATATACATACATATATATTGCAATATATCGGTTTTTAGTCTTAAAATGTATAGAAGTACTTGTCTTTGCATCGCGATTTGTTAAAATTGATTGGGAAACAGTCTGGGGTGCAATGGAATTTGAACTGGACAAGGCGTTAAAGCTGAAAATTCGGGCCTTTGAGGGTATATTCGGTATATTCGGGACACTTTACTATGCAAAACCTATTTACTGTTCCAATGAATGTATGTTGATGCTGAAAGTGATTTGCTTTAGTAAAACCACCTGATGATTCACCATTTTTCTCCTGTCAGAATCTTTTCAAGAGGGTTCCTTCTCCGGGTCAGTGACAGCTTCATATTCCACATAATAGATTAATTCTCATTTTCTTCCTTCATCTTTAAAGGTGCGTTGTTTTTTTTTAAATATGAATCAATTAACAGCCTGCCTGCAATAATATTGATTTTCATACACTAGATACCAGGCTTTCAGCAGCTCCTAAAAACGGGTGAGCACATCTTTTCAGGGCTAAAAGAAAGTATAACAGGGTGAATGGAACGATGGAACAATGTAGAGTTCCCTCGGCCTGGGACTGTGGAAATATGCAAATACACTGACTTTAATCTCCATGTGACATCTGAGAAATGTCATATTCTTTTCTGATTATGCGTGTTTAACTGTAAATGCTAAAGGGCGACAATTAATGCAAGGACTAGAGTTATTCTATAATTTAATATAGGTTAAATTAGGGATTTTTTTTCTCTGCTTGGAAGAGAAATGTGGGAAGAAATAAAGCTTTGTGAGGTCTCCTAGTGAACTCATTGCAGCCTGTAAAATGAAGGTAAATGGGTGGTTTGGATTATCTGGCTGCGGTAACGAGCATGACAGAACTGCAGCATAAGACTGCAGAAGTGTGCATCGTGTATTGATTAAACACAGAGAGTGGAAACTAAATTTAATGACCATTTTATCTGATGGTTATTTCCTGTAATGGGGAATGGAGATTTCAAGTCCTTCCCTAGGCAGTGGAGATAACATTTTTTAGCTCTGTAGTCCATTGATTTCTGAATATAAGTGACTTTTTTTGTTTCAATATATTCACATTTAATGTCAGCTTGCTGTCAATTCTCTGGACTCGTACAACAAGGAATATTGGCACCCTTATCAGTCTTTGAAAGACTCATCCTCCCAAATTCTTTAAGGCAGAAACAGACTCTGAGATTCCTGGAAATAGAAAAAGAGCATTCATTTTTTGCTTTCATTGACTTATTTATGCTTTCATTGCTTCTTGACTTATTTGGAAACGAGAAAATGTTCGGAGATTTGATTCTGATCTCTCAAACCCATCATTGCTTCATGGAAGATACATTTGTCTACATCAGAGATTATTCCAATCCACTATGGATTTGTGACCAAGAAAAGACAGATTGGTGGTATCAAGCTGTGGGTTCTCACCGGGGAAAAAAAAAAAAAAAAAAATCTTCCCTACAATGTAGGTCAATGCAAAGATGGGCATAAACTAGAAGACAGGAGGGGCAGGCCTGAGCGTCAAAGCAACTGGGAGATCATTTGCCTCCATCTGGCTCTTTTATTCAGTTATCTTTTGCTTTTCGATGGTTAAGCATAATATCCTAGAAATGTCAAAGTATTTGGGTAGTAATCCAGTGGATTTTAATTTCTCAGCCACTGTAGACTAAAATTATTATTTTTTTTTAGCTGTAGAATATAGAGCTGCTGTAGAATATAACCCAAAACAGAGACTGTGTGCTCAACATAGGAACTTGGTGCAGTTACAGAGGTACAGCAGAAAGGCTTATGCAGGTTTTGATATACCATTATCTCTTCAATCAGAAGTTGTACGTGGTTATCACCACTCCATCCAGCTTTCCTTCATTTTAAGAATCAACAAGTGTCAATAAAAATACTGAAATATCTTACTAAAGTGTTGCTATTTTCCTTCTAGGAAATAAACAGTTTTATGAATTAGCTCAGGCCTATGGAGAGATCCTACGCTGTATTTCTTTAAGAGGTTACTTGGAAAAAAAAAAAAGAACCATCAAAAGGAGAATGTGTTGAGTTCTGTCCTGAATCAATACCCCACGCTTGCTTTATGGATCAATTTAACTTTATACAGAATGCTTACTGAAACTGGATGCCTACCCTTGCTCCTATTTCAAGGAAGAGTGGGTTAGATAGTACCAAATGATTATTGCCTCATGTTTTAATTTCCTCTTTCAAAGCTGACATCAAGCACAGGTGTCATAATGTTCAGTAAATCATGAATCCCTACTTCCTTCTGCTAAAAGAGTCATAGGTTCCCATTGTTTTCCTCTGTACCTACTTGCATTTATTTTCCTGAATTATTTGGAAATTCAATATGTCCTATAATAAATGTTGATGCAGTATTTTCATGATCAGAATGCACAAATCAACATCAGCCAATTCCTTCACCATGAAACAAGGCTTCTGCAATGGCAAAGCTCTTGGCTTTGTTGTGGAACAATCTTATTTTATTATTCTCTAAATTTCTGGACATAGGCTGTAGTTCATAGTAAGCTATGCACTACAAAATATTCAGAAGTATTCCACATTGGAAAGACATCTCAAAATCATATGTTTTTTCGTAAAACAGAACAGGCCTCATTGTCAGTAAATGGAACCATTTTTTAAATCACAGAAACAGCATTCAAATACAGATGAAAACTACTCTTTCTTCACTTTCTCCACTAGCACTCTTGACAGGATGGAAATCCTGCTGCTCAGCCCACAGAAGATCCAATGGACTGGAACTTTCCATTTTTCTTTTTTTCTCATGTCGAGGAAGAGCGGATTCTGACATGGTGTTACACCCAACGGCTGCTGCTGGAGCCGGCTCAGTGGCACAAGGATGAGGATGATAAGAAGGAACAATTTACACTTAGTCAACAGTACAGATCTAATAATAAGTATAGGCTAGAAAGAATAATTTTCCAGGTCACAGATTCCCAAAGCTGATTGAAGAATGAGGTGACCCACAGCGCTTTTCTAAAAGTCATATTAGAGCTCCTTTCGGATTTGTGGGGTGAGAACGTAAACGGGGTCTTCTTGGCAGTTATTGCCCTTTGGAAACTCCACATATGGTACATACGGCAGATAAAGTTTTGGTACAGTAGTGAGGGAAGTTCAGGATGTTTGTGAAACCCCTAATGCACTTGGAAAATTTTTTTCTTCTCCTTCATGTGGCAAAAGCAGTACTTGGGGTTCCCCAACTCCATTGACACCAGTTAGCCTAACTCCTATTGCTGAGTAACAGCCCAAGCTCTGAGCACTGCTTTAGATCAATCTCCAGGTATTTTTACACTGAAAGGAACGTGTCTGCCTGTTTCAAAGCCTGTTACATCAATGCTGTAGTTTTAACATAGAAAATAAAATAAATTTAAAAAAGAAATTGTAGCGTAAGAACATAACAGGAGGTTTTTTCCTTTTGTTTTATATTATGCTAACATAAAATATAGCTTGCTTCTTCTAAGAAAAGAGAGGCTTATATTCCTCCTTTAATTCTTGAAGAGTCTTTTGTCCTTTACTGCCACAGTGATGAATCTTTTAACTGAACGTTTACAAAACAGAAGAGAAGAATTTACCTACAACCTAATGGTGCAATAATGAGAGCGGAACAAGGCAAAGCTGGTGAGAGAGCTTCAGCCCAGTTTTGGGCACTTTGTATTTTGAGTAAAGCCCCAAGATCGTGTGTCCCAGCAGCGAAAAGGATTAAATAAATAATAAATAAAGCAGAGTTTATTTTGTGAAGATTTTAACCCTTGCACGTGAAAGATTATAAAGAGCTTATCAGGTGAATTCTTCAGCATATACTGAAGTAAAGAGAGTGAGAAAATCAGACAAGTTGTAACTGAGTGGAAATGTAATTCAGAAAAGTGTAAAATACAAAATGGATGAAATATGGCTTTCTTAGGCTCCACATATTTGAAAGATTTAGGAACATACACAGCAACAAAGGCCAGAACAGCCCTTCCAAAGTGATTTCTACTGTTTGCTGCAGTTAGGAGTCATTTTGAATTCAGTTTACAGCAGACACACTCAACATTCCACATCTTTAACGCTGGTTCTCACTGATGAAATATAAATAGATCACCTTTGTATTTGTAACAATCCAGAATTTCACCCACATATAAAAATACTTTTGAGTTGATTTTCTAAAAGAAGTCCCAACAATAACAACAAACCCTACACCCCCCAAAAAAAACCCACCCCAAACCACCAAAACCCACAAACTGTGGTCTCTAGGCTGATGATTTATTAAGGTAAAAAGCAAAGAAAATTGTAAGAACAATTTAAATAGAGATAACCAAAAGGACAGGGAACAGAATTAAGAAAAACTGTAAGAGGTGCTTTCAGAATTTTCATATGTACTTGGTATCATATTTGCTATAGTTTGCCTATTGCTTTAGAAATTATTAGCAATTGTTCATTATCTTCTAGTCAATATATACTTATTTTACATATAATGCTACTGAAAAGAAATCAGGAGCATATGTATAGGCCCCAAACCTATATCTAAAAAAAAAACAAAAAACCCAAACAGGAGAAAGGAAACTAAACTCTACATACTCTTTCTGATGATCACATTCACTGTAAACTTTACCTGTTTCAAGTAGTTTATAATGTCCTGTCGTGTTCATGCCTTGCATACAGTATCTAGAATTGAACTAGGGATTAAGAGTTCAAGGACTTACTGGTATGCAAAAAGGTAAACAAAGCAAACCTGAACCATATGATCTATGCTCGTTTTTGAAAATAATTAATACTTGCAAGCAATATAGTAATTTATACACACATGTTGATATGAGACAGATAAGCAGGTTGCCCTGAGCGTATAGAAATACAATAATATTAAAAATATTAATGTTAACACTGAGAAAAAGATCAACACCAGTTGAAAGTCCAATAGATGCACGTAACACATCTGCCACCTGCTCGAAGAAGTAAAATATTTAAAGAAAATGGATTTATGTCCAGCAAGTGGTAGGAGAGAAAAAGACCGGTGAAGTCAAGAAAAGTAGTTCCAAGCCCTTTTCGGCACAGCTGTCCCCACTTGTGACAAACGGCTCGAAAGGTCCGCAGGGGCCACACGACCACCGACACCCAGACCACGGGCGCACTAGGCCCACGCTGGACCCACCGAGATTTTAAGACGGGGTCCAGCGCCCCCAGGAGCGCGCTCAGCCCATCGCAAAAGGAGGGTCCGAGCGCAGCCGTTACGCCGGGAAGGGAAGAAGCCGGGAAATGGCGCTTCCAAATGTCCCCAAGTCCGGGGCACTTGGACTGGGGAGAGAAGAGCGAGGCGGAGGCGGGGAATGGGGCGGCGAAGGCGGGCGGCCCCGGGGAGGAGCCCGAAAGAGGCGAAGGGCCTGAAGGCGCCGCGGCGCCCGCCCGCCCAGGAGGAGGAGCGCAAGCCCCGCCCCCTCCGGCCGTGCCCGCCCCTGCTCCCAATCAGGTCGGCTCCATAGACATAAAAACCCAGACCCGGGGGTTTCTAGCACAGATCTCGGCACAGCAGCGGCAGAGAGCAGCCATGTCTGGCAGAGGCAAGGGCGGGAAGGGGCTGGGCAAGGGGGGCGCCAAGCGCCACCGCAAGGTGCTGCGCGACAACATCCAGGGCATCACCAAGCCGGCCATCCGCCGCCTGGCTCGGCGCGGCGGCGTCAAGCGCATCTCGGGGCTGATCTACGAGGAGACGCGCGGCGTCCTCAAGGTCTTCCTGGAGAACGTGATCCGCGACGCCGTCACCTACACCGAGCACGCCAAGAGGAAGACGGTGACGGCCATGGACGTGGTCTACGCCCTCAAGCGACAGGGACGCACCCTCTACGGCTTCGGCGGCTAAAGCCTTGATCGCCTGCCACCCCCGGACTATCCATCTCGAGAACCCAAAGGCTCTTTTAAGAGCCACCCACTTTTTCTTTGTAAGGAGCTGTGTCGCTTTGTGTGATTCTATGTTGTTATTACCGTAAGCGGCTTCTCTTCTGTATGGTCTCGGTCTCCCTATCACCAACCCCAGCCCCTGTTACGGAGCTACAGCCGGACTGATGAGCCGTTTAGGCTCTGGGCTCCTCTCTAGCGCCCTGTTGCTGCATCATTACCCCTCCCAGTGCTGTCTCTTTTCTCCCCGGCAGCCGCTTTGAGAAAAGCTTTCTGAGACACGAGCTATTTCTCGACTTTCCCCGGGGAGTTTTACTGATGCCACAAAGTCCTGGAAAGTGCTGGGGCAGCAGGTGCCAGTCCCGTGTCCCCATTTAGGGACCCGCGGGCCGGGGAACAGATCCCCTGCAACAACAAAATAAAAACAACAATAAAAAAGGCAAAAACCTACATCTGTCTCAGAGAGTTCTCTGTTACGGAGCGGCGGATCATTTGTCTCCCCACGCCCGTAGGCAGAAAATGCTGTGACAGGACTGGGCTCGGGCGCGGGGGGGCGCTGGCAGCCTTTGTCCCCGGGTTCCCTCCCCACCCCCGGGAGGGTTAAGCGCCCTCGCTCTTTCGAAAAGCCCGCGCGGACGGCGATTGGCGCCGGGCGATTCCGCGCTCGGCAAAGCCCGCGCTCCGCTCCCGGGGCGCTCCCCCAGCGCAGCCTCCGTCCCGGGCGCTGCCCGACCGGGAGTTAGAACCGAGCTCCTCCCGCCCAAAGGCCGGGGCAGGCGGTGCCCACGAAGAAACCCGCACCTTGCCCAGCTGCAGCAGAGCGACCAGGCGCCTCTCCGCTAACCTTACAACCCTCCCCGACCTCCCGTGACAAACGCACACACACTCCCTCCTCCCCTGCCGAATACACCCCGCAGCAGCAGCAGAAGAAACAACTCCAGCTCTTTTTCTCGAGGTTGTGGGTGGCTCTGAAAAGAGCCTTTGGGTTTCGTTTCCGCGCTCGGGACGCTCCTCCAGGCACGCTTTACTTGCTCTTGGCCTTGTGACTCTCGGTCTTCTTGGGCAGCAGCACGGCCTGGATGTTGGGCAGCACCCCGCCCTGCGCGATCGTCACCTTGCCCAGCAGCTTGTTGAGCTCCTCGTCGTTGCGGATGGCCAGCTGCAGGTGGCGGGGGATGATGCGCGTCTTCTTGTTGTCGCGGGCCGCGTTGCCCGCCAGCTCCAGGATCTCGGCCGTCAGGTACTCCAGCACGGCCGCCAGGTACACCGGGGCGCCGGCGCCCACCCGCTCCGCGTAGTTGCCCTTGCGCAGCAGCCGGTGCACGCGGCCCACGGGGAACTGCAGCCCGGCCCGCGACGAGCGCGACTTGGCCTTGGCCCGCGCCTTCCCGCCCTGCTTCCCGCGGCCGGACATCTCTGAATCAAGCGACCGATCAAACGCTCCGCAGCTCCCGCACACACACCGGGCAGCACCTCGCTGTCCCCCACCGCCCCGGGACCGCCCTTATACCCCTGCCCCCGCCCGGCCCCGGCTCCTGATAGGCCGAGCCGCCTATCGCTGAACGCGCACCCAATGGCGCGGCGAATCTCGTCCCGACCAATGGCGAGGGGCTCAGCGCTGAGCGGCCTCCGCTCGCGCTCTCCAGGCGGCCAATGGCGAGGCCGCGGGGGCGGGATTTCTCAGGCGCCTCCGCCCGCGCGGGAACCTCCCAGCCCGGCTCCGCCGCCGCCGCCGCCGCCGCCGCCCCGACCCGCGGGGCCGCCCCTTCCCTTCTATCGTCCCTTTTCGTTTTTAAATCGCTTGGAAGCAGACGGGGGGGAAGGGAAGAGCTGAGGGGGTCGAGAGGAAAAGAGACAGCGTGGCTGTGTCAGCGAGCGGGAGCAAAGCGGGGGTGGGATACCGGGAGACGGGAAATGCGGTACAGCTCCCCGCGCTGTTTCAAGCGGGGGCTTTCACTTGCGGGAAGATTTCGTTCCTTGCCAGCACCGGACTACCCTAACCTTTCCGACCTTCCAAAACTACGTTTCCCTACATCCGCAAACCCCCACCGCTGGCTCCCTTCCGTGTCCGTCCCCGACACGAGACGCACAGAGGGGGATACGAGTTAAACCCTGCTCTCGGACTCAGTAAGGGCAACGGGCCGGCACAGAGCACAGAGAAAAAGCGGATTCCCAGCAATAGTGGCGACTATCTCACTTTTACTCATGTAGTATTTTTTAGATTAATACAATAGAGTATACTTGTATCGAGAAACTGATACATATTTCAGGAAATTTTTCAGAGACTTTGACTTACGTGCCAAAATTAGGGGTCCGCTTGGCACTCAGGGTGAGGCCAGCTCAGATTCTGATGTAATTCAGAGGGAAACTGAAAGAGTTCGAGTATATTCACACAGCTCATTAGGGTCTGCATTGCTGATTACCCCGATTATACATAACACCTCATTAATAGCTATTGCATTATCTACAAACCTAAAAACTTAAATACACTTTAGAAATATCTTCTAAAGTGACATCCATTTAAAAAATAGCATTAGCATTGCAGCTCTTTTTAGGGTGTATGTAGTGGCTCTTAAAAGAGCCTTTGTGTTGGCTAAAATGTTCTGAAACTACACGGTAACGTTCTAACCGGGTTTAGGCGCGCTCGCCGCGGATGCGTCGGGCCAGCTGGATGTCCTTGGGCATGATGGTGACGCGCTTGGCGTGGATGGCGCAGAGGTTGGTGTCCTCGAAGAGCCCCACCAGGTAGGCCTCGCTGGCCTCCTGCAGCGCCATGACGGCCGAGCTCTGGAAGCGCAGGTCGGTCTTGAAGTCCTGCGCGATCTCGCGCACCAGGCGCTGGAAGGGCAGTTTGCGGATCAGCAGCTCCGTCGACTTCTGGTAGCGCCGGATCTCGCGCAGCGCCACCGTGCCGGGCCGGTAGCGGTGCGGCTTCTTCACGCCGCCCGTGGCCGGCGCGCTCTTGCGGGCCGCCTTGGTGGCCAGCTGCTTGCGGGGCGCCTTCCCGCCCGTCGACTTACGCGCCGTCTGCTTCGTGCGCGCCATCGCTCTCCAGCAAACAACAAAGGTTGCGAGAACCAAAGGCACTGATACTGCCGCCCTAGTCGAGGGGTATTTATAGCAGCAGCCCTTGCTCTGATAGGCGGAGGGCCATAGGCTGAGTCCCATTGGTGGATTCAAATTCGAAAGATCCCGCCACTGGCAGGTACCGCCTACCCTTTTTCGTCTTTGTTCCTTTCTACTCTGTAAGGCCTAAAGAAGCAGTTCTGTTTATAACTATACTTTTTCTATTTGCGTAAACCCCACAGATATTATTGATTTAAAATGTTTTTTTAACATTTATTTAATAGTTACAACTTCATTTTTTAAAAGGTTTGTTTTTCGCTGTGAAATTTTCGTGTTTGGTTTTTTTTTTTTTTTGTATGGGTAATTCCTTGTACTTAAAAAGGATAAACGAATTAGAAAAAAAAATGAAAACCGGGATATTGCAAAACATAAGTTTAACCAAAGAAAGAAAAGGATCCCAGGTTTCTAGTCCCTATTAATGCTACATGAATACGCTGAGTGCAGGTAGGATATAATGACCAGGGGATAAGTGTAGAAATCAAAGGCTGTAACTGAAGTTTTAAGACGGAATCAGGCCGTGAGTGCAGAGGCCGTGTTTAACTACATAGTTCCGCTGTGCTTTGGGGGCAGGGGAGAGAAAGAGAACAGCGAG